TTTTTGTTCAGCAAAAAAGCGTGTGAAAAAAGTAGTGGCTTATACTCCTGAAATTACGGTAATTGAAAAGAGGCGTGTGAAAAAAGTAGTGGCTTATACTTTACGGTAATTGAAAATAATTATATTTTTAATAGTGTACTGGTATCTAAGTATTTTCATCAATTTTAAATATTTCTTATAAGTATTTTCATCAATTTTAAATATTTTTTTTCTCTTGTTTTTAAATGGAACCTTTTGAATTATTAGGTCTTTATCATGCAAAAAAACATGAAGAGTCGACATAAAAAAAAAATTGAAAGGACAAATCCAGTCACGTCCGGGACTTATTTGTAGATTCCTGGGATCGTAATGGTTGGATGAAGAATTGATGAGTGGAGCTGTAGTCAAACATGAGAATAAATAAAGAAGTAGATTTTCTGTTCATTTTTAATTACCGCTCTTTTTCAGCATTGCCTTTTTTTTTTTTTTTTATTCCTCCCATTCTCCTCTGACACTTTCCTCAGAATGACCTGACCTAACGCTGCAGTTTGACCTCAGACACAGTTCAGGCTGTGATGGTCCATCATTGCAGTCCAGCCTGTTGTCTTCGTGTTCACATTTCATAAATATCAATCAAGGAATGTAAGAACGTGTTGATACACAGACATATCGTGCTGTTTCATGACATGGCATCGACATACTACAGCACTTTTTTCTTTCTCTCTCTCTCTCTTACACACACACACTCAGAATGCTTTTTATTATTTATGCTGCTGCTCTATTCTACCCCCTCAATCATGTCTTATCTGATTGCATGGGGACATATCTGTCCTCCTCCTCCTCCTCCTCATCCTGTCCTGTACCATCTGCCAGCTGCTGGTGGACAGATGAATGCCGGATGCAGATTAAAGTGCACCAACACTCCCAGATGGATCCCTGAGGATTTGTTTTTTTTTTTTTTTTTATTCTTAGTGATAAAGAGAACATGCATATTGTTACTGCTGGCTACTGTACAACAGTTTTCTTTTTCTTTGACAGGATCTCTGTCACTATTTACACGTGTTAAAAATGAAGTTGATTCAACATCAAATGCTCTGTCTATCAGCTGTCTATCCCTGTTAGTCCAAACCTAGGGCTTAAGTTCCCGGGCTTGGCTCACAGACTCATCCGTGACTAGGCTCTGGTTTATTTAGGGCAGAGTCAAAAGTACCTTCAGCAGTAGTAGTCACATTCAAACAAGTAATTATAAATTGTTTTCCAAGAAAACAGCAGTCAAGTTCTTGGTGACTGGACTGGAATGAACGTCTGTCACCTTTGTCTTTGTCTTTTTTTTACGTAATCATTGAATTTTTTTAAATTTTTTTCTTTTTTTTACGTAATCATTGAATTTTAAAATTTTTGTTCTTGACTTTTCTTTTCCAGAGTCTGACATGACTGTGGTTCTTTCAGGAGTCAAATTAAAGGTGTTATGAAAGCTGGAGCTAAATTGTGCCTGAACCATGAGCCACAACTACCAGGAAGAGGCATCAAAGGAGGTTGTGGAGGAACAAAAGATAACAGTAAGGAACCGCCAACCCAATGGTCCAGCGCGCGGAGAAGCTCCTCCTGTTCGTCGGTCCTGGAGGCCATGTCAGATAAACCAAGATGGGGAACTGAACCTCCACCACCATCACCATGAGCATCATCCTCCTCCACACCACCACCACGCCCATCACCTCCCAGCTGGTCGTGGACCTTCTAGGCATCGCCGGCGACCACCTTCAGCACAAGGTCAAAGCCAGGTTCAAAGTCCTGGTTCAGCTCCTGTAGTGATGTCTTCTCGGACTGGTGGAGGAGAAGTTTGGAGTGCCGATCATCTTCCTGTACCACAACACCGCCCTGCGGTCACTCGCTACCGCCGGCATGGAGACCCAAACCCTAGACTCAAAGGTCACAGGCAGAGGCAGCCCAACAATGAGAAGCAGGAGATCTTGCACGGTGTGGATGAGCGAGGAGTTCCAGTAGAACCTCCGGTGAATGATTATCCCACAAGAGAAGAACCACTGGACCAAGGTTCACCTCACCAGACTCCTATTGCTGTGGTTACGCCCACTCACCTCTGCACTGCTCCTGCAACCCAGAACGTGCAACCTCATCCCCAAGAAACCCCGCCTGCTGAGGTGGAGGAGAACTTTCAAGATCTCCAGAACACAAAAGCTGACGAGGTGGTGAAAGTGGATAAAGATGGTGAAGGAGAGAAGATGAAGGACGACGAATCTCGCTGCTCAACTGCTTTAGACGTTAGCTTCAACCAGGACAGTGTTGAAGAAGCCAATATTGGTGCTAAAGAACGCACTGAGAGCATGGAAGAAGAACCCTCGGAAGTGCTGGATGATGCGGCCACCGGTGTTCCTGCAGCAGGAAGTGAAATCAACGACCTCTGTTCTGACACTGAGAGTGCCGCCTCCTTGAGTATGGACGGACCTCTGCACAGCCCACCACCGCTTCATTCACCAACGCCTCCATCTTCCCCCGATGTGCCAACGTTCCCTCAAATCGACCACTTCAGCGAGGAGCCCAGTATGAGCCCCGTCCTAGACGATGACCAACCGGAAGACGAGGATCGATCCGAGTCCACTTACTACACCGACTCGTACCCCAAAACCTATGCGGACTTTTACTCAGAGTCCCACCAAAAGTCCTGCCCGGAGTCCGTCTACACGGTGTACGCTGAGACTAAACCTCATCCGACCTCATTTCCCGAACCTCTCAAGACCTCGTACTCTGAGGCAGCAAGAGATCCATGCTGGCAGCCAAATCAAAGAACTGGTTGTGATGACCAGTGTCATCAAGAGACCTTTACGAAGCAGACTGAAGAAACTCCAACAAATAAAGTGTCTTCGTTTTCCCACACCATGGACTGTAGTCCAACACCTTGGCAAGTCAAGAATCGTGGTTCCCATTTCTCCCCTCCGGACCGCTCTGTTGGCTGCAGGCTGCATCATTACGATGAAGAGTCCGATGAGGATGATAGTAGTGGAGGAGGAAGAAGCTTTGGTCAAAAAAGTCTCCGATTTGAACCGGGACAATCGGAACGCCAGGACATGAGTCCGTTATCTGGACAGAACAGCTCAGGTGAGGACAAGGATGACGCTAGGACCTTAATATAGAAATGGATGAAGAAACGTGAAATAACATTGTAAAATTGAAATTGTTACGTCCTCACAGGCGATGCCATCAGTCTAGCCATCAAAGACATCAAGGAGGCCATTGAGGAGGTGAAGACAAAGGCCGTCCCTTCTCCATATACTCCAGACTGTCCTGAGGAACCCATCTGGGTCATGAGGCAGGAGGACACCTTCTCACTGCACACTGACCAGGTTTGTATCAATCTGCTCATGTTTCCTTCTTGAAGGTTCACTTTGCTGACATTTAGTGGTGAAAGACAGAACGCGGGACTCCTCTGTCCACACTGAATTTCACTGGGAATTCAGCAATGTTCCAGTGGGATTAAGCCCATTGTGACACGTGCTGACCACACGAGGAAGCACGTGGCTAATGCGAGGGTTTTCTGATGAGCTGAAAATCCACCTTGATAAAAGCGTTCTTGGTCTCGTTTCTCTTACCTCTTCTCCTTCTTTCTAAAGTCCTCGTCCCAGTCGGACTCCGAGGCTCCGTATGTCTCATGTCCAGCTCGGGAAAACGCCAGTCCCAAAAGGCGAGAGACCTGCAGGTCAACGCATCCTTCAAACTATCAACAGCCTCAGCACCAGCTGCAGCTCCACCATCAGCACCCGAACCAGCACACTCAAGAACAGCAGAGGGACACACTGAGGTCTCCGCTGATGTGTCAGAAGCAGCAGCAGCAGCAGCAACAGGCTGAACATCAGCATCCGCAGCCTCAGCATCATCCACAAAGGCTGCATGATCAGCCCCAGACACATCCTCCTTCTGCGCCGCCGCCGCCGCAGCAGCAGCAGCAGCAGCAGCAGCAGATGTCTGTGCAGGAGGTGAGACATTAAAAGAATAACAAACAAAGTCTTTATGGTCATTGAAAATCTCTTCTGAACTGATTTTTCTCTGAAACGGCACTCGATCTCATAAATAAAAATACAAATTTGTTAAGTCAACTTTCTTCAGAGCAACCTCAACGATGCAAACTGACAACATGAGGGAGCAATAGATAAGCAGCTTTGACCTCCGCATCAACTTAAGACAATGATTTTCTCTGAGAGCGTTGGCGCAGGCAGTTCTTTCAACTGGTGCTAACAAGGATTTGATGGAAAATGAAAACCGAAAGACTGTGAAACCAGAAAAAAAAAAAAGAAAAAAAAGAGTTTGTGAAGTGGTGAGTTGTATGACCATGTACTCTTCCTGTGTTTTTTTTACCCACTCAGATTCGCAGATCTCTTCCTTCCTTTCCTACCTTTGTGGATGGTGAGTGGTCTTCGTGATTTAAACTGTTAACCATCTGTTTTGATTTACGTACATTTTTTTTTTTTTTTTTACACAACCGTGTGCCGTTCCATTTGTCTGGTGAAGTGCTCGGACCTTGTGACCCAGAAGACCTGATTGATGGCATCATTTTTGCTGCCACCTACCTGGGCTGCACACACCTGCTGTCGGAACGAACGCCGTCAAAAAGTGCGAGGATGCAGCAAGCGCAAGAGGCCATGAGCAGAGTCAGGGTGAGCGATGTCATGCATAAGTGACATGAGTTTCGTTCGTTCGGACACAGCAATACCAACATCATTTGTAGGCTGTTGATCCATCCTGATTCATCACAATGAATCCAGGTTACCATCATTTCCAGGCTATTGAGTGCGACTGAATTTAGGCCGCCATAAATCAAATCCTCAATCCTGGACCAATCCCATTTGACTGATGTTTTGTGAAGAATGAAAGAATGTTCTGCAATGGTAACAAAATGGAAAAATCCAAAAGAGAAGATAATGATTGTAACACAGTCATCTATTTGTGTGCGTTTTTACAAGAGGCCAAATTTCGAAATAACAACCGCAGGGTGATGGTTCCAGTTTTAGGGAGAAGGAAATGTGTGTTATTTTGACCTGAGCTGTGATCGGGGTGTCTGAGTGTTTGACCGCAGGCAGCTGCGTGTCATAACGATGAAGAAACTTTGGACTCTGATTTGTCTGTAAAAAAAACGCCTGCGGTGGTCAGATGATGCTGCTGCTGCTGTCAGACACACACACACACACACATGCGCGTGTGTATAAAATCTCTTGTCAAAAGAATGATCTTCTCCTCATTAGGTTTTCCTCTCTTTTCTGTCAACAGGCTGCTCAGAAACAGGCCAAAAACAAGAAAAAGGTACGAGTTTTTTTCACACTTTTATTTAAAATGGATTTATAGTGGATTAAGCCAGAGATCATGTTGAAAAAAAAAAGTTCTTTTATGACCTTTTATGGACGTATCTGTATGTTTCTAATAGTGATGGTTTGATACCAGTTTTCATGTCAGATACTGACACTTGTCACTTGGCGTGTCTTGCTAATTGTTTTCTCCTCTGCTCTACTTCGAACTCTGCTGACATAGACATAAAGACATAAAACAACAAGTTTTAAGTCACTGTGCAAAAAAACTAAGGAGAGGTGGGCTAATTTCTACCCTTGGCTTGTCAAATGCGCTTGGTCAGCCCTGCTCCGTAAACACTTAATATAAAACGTAAATTTCTGATTTCTTAACACTGGTTCTTGTCTAAATCAAACTTGATCATTAATATAAAACGTAAATTTCTGATTTCGGAACACTGGATCTTGTCTAAATCAAACTTAGTGATCATAGAATCCTCACCAAAACATGTTCACATCCACACGGGTCCACATATCCACATACAGCATCTCCACGTAGCTAACATGCTAACAGGACCCGGCTAATGACCGTACACTCAGGTTGGGGCTGTCATTTACAACAGCAGCTTTCACGGCACAGGCTGTCAAACTGTTTCCACGGGAATGTTACCCAGCCCACCTCCCACGTTGACCCATTCACTTTGGATTCGAATTCAAACGCTGTAACTGCTGTGCTAATCAAACAAAGGAAATGAAAGTTTGCAAAAAACCACTGGTTCACAGCGTGTCAGTCGAAGTTCAGCATTTCTGTGACAGTTCAGACTCATGGATTTGAACGATTTAAGGGCTCTGATCTGACTGACCCATGGGTTTGACCGATCCATGATGTGTAAAAGTCCAACTTTATGACTAAAATAGACTTAGCGTATAGCTTATCTTACTGTGAAGATATTTTTTTGGCTCTGTGGTTTTCACCACTGCTGATCAGCTTGTTGTTTTTTCTCTGCCTCTGCTCCAGAGTCCTGACGCTGAGGCTTCATCCACCACTGAGGTTGATCTCTTCATGTCCACACAGAGGATCAAAGTCCTTAATGCAGACTCTCAGGTGGGGACAAAAAAAAATAATTCTAGTTTCTGAGCCAGTGCAGTTGTGAAGATCGCTTGTGAACTTTGAGTGTAACTTTCAAAATCTGGAGACAGGTGCTGCACTGTCAAGCAACATTTGGATGAAATAACATAATAAAACATTTTTTGAATTGAATAGAAAATCCAATTTTTTTTTTACTTTTGTAATGCCGTTTTAGAGAGAAATAATAATTCCAGGAAAATGTGTGGGTAAATCATCCCTACACTCAAATGACTGTATTTGAACCACTATTGCCTCCATCAGTTTAAAGGTTTCTTTATGTTTTATTTACCTTTTTATTGACATTCAGCAACAAACCATAATTTCCGGACCATAAGACACTACTTTTTTCCACACACTTTGAACACTGCGGCTCAAACAATGACATGGCTAATTTAAGGATTTTTACGGGCTATGTTTGGGGGTGCGAGACAGAGGAATGACAGCGAAAGTCGAAAGCAGTTTGAGCCCCTGTCATGTTGAAGGGTGAGTTGGTTATACAGGAGCTGTTAAAACTCTGTTTATGTTTGTTAGCTTCAGACCTGGAGCTAATGTTAGCTTCAGACCTGGAGCTAATGTTAGCTTCAGACCTGGAGCTAATGTTAGCTTCAGACCTGGAGCTAATGTTAGCTTCAGACCTGGAGCTAATGTTAGCTTCAGACCTGGAGCTAATGTTAGCTTCAGACCTGGAGCTAATGTTAGCTTCAGACCTGGAGCTAATGTTAGCTTCAGACCTGGAGCTAATGTTAGCTTCAGACCTGGAGCTAATGTTAGCTTCAGACCTGGAGCTAATGTTAGCTTCAGACCTGGAGCTAATGTTAGCTTCAGACCTGAGGCTAATGTTAGCTTCAGACCTGGAGCAGATCACGTCCCCCTTGTGCATTCCAACTACGGTCGTGGCTCTGAAGCAGAAAAGAGCTAACCAGCCGTGTCACAGGCACTGTTCGGAAAATAGCATTTATTTAATTAAAAGAGTAAATATCCCATGTTACAATGTGGACAATTGCATCTTTTAGAGAAGTGCGGCCTATATTTGTACGATTTTTTTATTTTTATTTTTATTTAGTGGGTGCGGCTCATATTCAGGTGCGCTCAATAGTCTGAAAATTATGGTATGTATTTCCATTTCAATCATTAGGGACACAACATGAATGAATAAAAAAACACAACAAAAACCAACGACACATATGGACTTAGGTGTGGTTATTATACTGTCTACTTTCTAGAGTTAACAGAGTTACAATTTGGCCTGTGTGGTGTTCTGTCCAATTCTTCCAATGTAAAACAGACCAATCTTTTTTTTTGTAGTTACCTTTTGCAGTTAAACTCTCCATCCTATATATTTCCATTGATATATATCCACATGTTCAACGTTGGGCTGTCCTGTGAAAGTCAGGGATGAGTAAAAAAAACCCAAACATTTTAGAGGCAGCTACCTTTGTAGTGGGATTATCTTATCAGGTTTTTCCAACCAAACTCTCTCCAAGTCTGTGCTGCTACATTTCCATTGATATTTCCAAATGGTTGCCCACTCTTCTTTCTTACATCTATTCCTCCCTCCGTTTCCCGAGTTGAATGTGTTTTTTCACTGACAAAATGTTTCAGCTGCAGGTAACGATAGAAATCATGCGCTTCTAATGAAAATTTCTCTTTGATCCTCTTAAAACTAAGTAGTGTTTTTCCTTTATTATCTTAAAGATAAAGCCGTTATTCCTTTATTTTTTGAATGTCAAATCTAATTTATTTGGGGGAAACTGTGTATCATATGCACACCACTTAAGAATCACAACATCCTCTTCTGATTTGCATTCTGTTATAACTGTTTTCAAAAGGTTTCATTCAAAAAAAAAAACCCATCCAAACGAAGAAGAGTGACGAAACCGCGGCGAGAAAAAAAAGAATAAAAGCTGACATTTTCTTCATGGCTTTGTTTTTGGAGAGGATAGATAAACGTTTGTTCTCCTTCTGTTCTCAGGAGTGTCTAATGGACCTTCCTCTCAGAACCATTTCGTACATCGCTGACATTGGGAACATGGTGGTTCTGATGGCTCGGGGGAAGATGGTCCGTTCTCACAGCGCTCAGGAAAACCTGAACCAGTCGTCCGAGTCCAGCTCTGCTCAGGACGACAGACGTCTCTACAGGATGATCTGCCACGTCTTCGAGTCGGAGGACGTGAGTCCTCCCTCCCTCCCCCCCGGCTCCACAGTTCACACTGTGTTTTTGACTGTCCTCATAATCACTCGGTGTTTCTGTCCTGCTCCAGGCCCAGCTGATTGCTCAGTCCATAGGTCAGTCCTTCAGTGTGGCCTACCAGGAGTTCCTCAGAGCGAACGGCATTGACCCTGAGGATCTGAGTCAGAGAGAGTACAGTGATCTGCTCAACACTCAGGACATGTACAACGATGACCTCATACACTTCTCCAAGTCTGAGAACTGCAGAGACGTAAGTCAGGCAACCGGGGACAGCGCTCCTGATCAACTTTGACAACTTTTAGCACTTTTAGCAAACAGTATCCGTTGCTTTGTTTCTGCTGTGACTTCAATATCTGTAACATGAGTCAGAAATTAGTCTGAACCACTTATCTGAGGTCTGTGGATCTCCTCAGGTTTACATAGAGAAGCAGAAGGGCGAGATCCTGGGAGTGGTGATCGTAGAGTCCGGCTGGGGCTCAATACTTCCCACTGTCATCATCGCCAGCCTCATGCATGCCGGCCCTGCAGAAAAGTCTGGACGACTTAACATTGGGGACCAGATCATGACAGTAAACGGGACCAGTCTGGTTGGTCTGCCACTCGGCACGTGTCAGAGCATCATCAAGGTTCGGTATCACTTCCTTTCTCTGTTTCTGTACCGAGGATTTATGGGTTCGGGGATAACATGGCTCTTTCTGACCCTCAGGGACTCAAGTCCCAGTCCAGGATCAAGCTGAACATTGTCAGGTGTCCCCCCGTGACCATGGTTTTGATCCGTAGACCAGACCTTAGATATCAGCTGGGCTTTAGCGTCCAGAATGGAATAGTGAGTCTGAAACTTGGGACTTTTAAAATGTCTAAGTGTGATTTTTTTTGTTAGTTTGATATCGAAACTTTTGGCCAAAAAATCTTCTAGCTAACCTTAGGATTTTGTAAGTTATTGTTAAAAGCCAAAAAACCCAACAGGCCTATTTTTTGTTATCTTTATTTTCTAAACTGATTTAGTCCAACTCTTGGACATTTTCTCATTTGTTCATTATAATTTGCTTATGTTGTTAGGTTGTTGTGAAGTTATCTTTTTTGTTTCCTCTTACCTTTCTGCACATTTGTAGATCTGCAGTCTGATGAGAGGAGGGATCGCAGAGCGAGGAGGGGTCAGAGTTGGTCACCGCATCATTGAAATCAACAGTCAGAGCGTAGTGGCTACACCTCATGAGAAGATTGTCCAGATTCTCTCCAACGCCATGGGAGAGGTCAGGGATACTTTTTTTTTTCATGCATTTAAGGAACAAAATTTTAAAAAACCTCATCCTTATGATTGTGCAATGATGTGAGGAAAGTTTTTTTTTTTTATGTAATTGAAAAAGTGGGTAACCAATTACACAAAATAACGTTTTGTTTTTTATATGTTGGTCCCAGATCCACATGAAAACAATGCCTGCAGCCATGTATCGCCTGCTGACCGCCCAGGAACAACCAGTTTACATCTGAGCACCAACTTCACATCTTCCTCCAGTCAGATTCCTGTCAGACTCTGCATTATTGTCACCTGTTTGCTTTAATCTGAACCACAGGGACCCCAACATCTGAGCCAGCTGAATGTTTACATCTTCTGTTTTACATCAAAGGAGGAAGTAAAAAAGAATTAGTGAAAATGAACTTTTTTTGTTAAAATATCCGTGAAAATATGAATGTACTGGAATCAGGCTGGACCTACAGATGTTCTACACAAACTGCATGTACAGATTGGTTGAATAAACACAGGATTAACAAATAAACGTTGAAATCAACTCTTAATTTATTTAAAAAGAGCAGTTTACATATTGCATATATGTTAACATGATAGGTTAAAATATAAATGGTGTCAATTCAACTCTTAATTTATTTAAAAAGAGCATTTTACATATTGCTATACACATGATAAAGGTTAAAATATAAATGGTGTCAAAGAATTTTCATAATATTACAAAAGTTCAGAAAACAATGTTAATCATTATTGATCCATATTTGGGAATTTCCTGTGTAAACAGCAGATGTGCTGTCAACAGGCTACTCCCAGCTCACCCAGGACACACAGGATTCTCCGGACTCTGCTTCTGAGTGCAATAAAAGAATCAACTTTTTTTTCTTAGCGATAGAAACCTGTATTAATATATTAATAATATATATTAATAAATTAATAATAATAATTATATATATATATATATGTCAATAATATAATAATATATATGTCAAGCATTTCATTGCATTGTAGACCCTGTGTTGAAAGTGCATATGACAAATAAACCCGATCTTGAATATAAGTTACGACAAAAGACGATAAGATACTAATATAAATCTAACTACCGTTTTTTACTACAATAAAGAAAGTTGAATCGTATAGTACTGTAGGTTTTAATTATTTTTTACTATAAATATTAACTCAAGAAACAAGAAACAATTTATTTTAAAGGTAAGGCGCATAACAGAAAACAGGAAGTGAGCGAATCAAACACGTGACCATTGAATTCGAATTAGAACCTAATGCGAAACAAGTGTGTCTATCCAATCAAAAACTGGCCTCGTCTGTTCTACCCAATCAGCGCGAAGTCTGCGAGGATTTAAACCTCAACACTGAACACAGCAACTAACGCCTCATTCTCTACCAGTATCTTCTGTGAGCAGACGAACCTTTACACAAAATGGCTCTCCGTGTCACCCGTGTAAGTATTTTGAACTGTTTTCTCAACCGTTCTATTTAAGGCAACATTGTCGTGTGTTCGTAAAAAAATCCGTTGCAAGAAACCTGGTACATCTGGGTGGCGTTTTCTCTTATCGTTTGTTGCATTCCACAAAGTCTATGTTCTTTTTCCTAATCACCCATTTATGAGCTTTAACGTCATAACATACCTTTCTTCCGTAGAACCGATTGGCTTCCACCAGGTCTGACCTCGGTGGAAAGGCCTGCACCGTGGCCGGGCCTGCGAAGCCTAGGGCAGCGCTGGGAGAAATTCGTAACATCACAGCCAACGGAAAGGAAGCCCAGAAAAAGGTAATTCCGTCCTTGCGAAATTGTAAAGTATGGTGTTTAAAATGGTAATGTTTTTGGATTTTATACCATTTGTTTGCAACGTTTAATTTACTTTTTAGTTAAGTGGGTTGGACATCGCAGTGCGTTCTTAGCAAGAGCGAGAAATGGCGTGTTTAGAGGGCAGCGTTCTTAGCAAGAGCGAGAAATGGCGAGTTTAGAGGGCACTATTGGTTTAAAAAAAAAAAGACCTTCAGTCAACTGCCACTGTATGTAGTTAAAATCTAGCAAAGGTCAGTTTGTTGCATAAAATTGCTCTGCTTCTGTATTGTGACAAATTGCATGTTTTAAAGTCTCTGAAACAGAACTCGCCTTCACATTTACACTGGTTTACTTCATGTAAATAAACCTGGAGTTCAAAATGGAGGCTTGGTAACGAGCCATGTAGTTTTGTTTTTTTGAGTTGGAAGTTGCCGGAACATTTCTAACACATGGTTCTTGTAGCCAACCATGAAGACAAAGCCCCCAAGGAAGATTGAGGCAGAAAAACCAGCTATGATTGAAGCAAAGGAGCAGGAGAACGTTGATCCTATTGAGCCAGAGCCTGAGGTCAAGGTGGGTTTCAAGTATTCCAGGTGCTCAGTGTTCCAGATCTTCTGGGTGAATTGTAGCAATGCTCATTTAAGTTTTTCTGCTGCATGTTCAGCCTGAGCCACAATCGCCAACTCCCATGGAGACTTCTGGCTGTGAAGCAGGTGATCCAGCTGAGCTGTGCCAGGCCTTTTCTGATGTCATCCTCAACACTGTGATCAGGGATGTAGACGCAGACGACTATGACAATCCAATGCTGTGCAGTGAATACGTGAAGGACATCTACAAGTACCTGCGGCAGCTTGAGGTGTGATTGCAGTCCAGTATTACTTTTTACGAACAGTTTACTGTTGTGGTGCTTTACTTTCTCCCCCCCCCCCCCCCCTCCCCCTTTACTCTAACCCCTCAGGCTGAGCAGAGTGTCAGACCTGCTTACCTGCAGGGCAGGGAGATCACGGGCAATATGAGAGCTATTCTGATCGACTGGCTGGTACAAGTGAGCCTCAAGTTTCGCCTGCTGCAGGAGACCATGTACATGACTGTGGCCATCATTGACCGCTTTCTTCAGGTGAGGCGTAATTTTAATGTCCTGTAAGATCTTTGTCCGAGTGTCAAATGACACTGGTTTGTCCAACAAATTCGTTTGGTCTGCATACCTTCATTCTACTGTTGGCTGAAGCCGTAAAATGGGGCCCTGTGCTGTAGCTCTGCTACCCTCTAGTGTCCGTGGCCCTCAAGCCTTTCTGACAGCGTAATTGGCTGTAGTTCTCATTAGCCCAGTGGCTTCCGTGGCCCTCAAGCCTTTCTGACAGCATAATTGGCTGTAGTTCTCATTAGCCTTATTTTCTGTGCCCTTTGGGCACAAAGTACTGCAATAGTCCAACTGTGACAGCTCCAAACATTTAGGGTCACCTGATGTTGAATTATTTGGATGAGGGTTAAATCAGACTGAGTTGAACTTGATTACACTAGTATTTGTAACTTGGGATTTTATACAACTAACCTGCACTCTCCATTTTTGCCCTGTGCAGGACCACCCAGTCCCCAAGAAGCAGCTGCAGCTGGTTGGTGTCACTGCTATGTTCCTGGCGTCTAAGTTTGAGGAGATGTATCCTCCAGAGATTTCAGACTTTGCCTACGTGACTGACCGTGCCTACAGCACTGCACAGATCCGAGACATGGAGATGAACATCCTGCGGGTCCTTAAGTTCCAACTGGGTCGGCCTCACCCTCTGCAGTTCCTCAGGAGGGCTTCCAAGATTTATGAGGTGAACTGAACGTCTAACACACACACACAGCTGGACACTTGGAACACTAAGGATGCTGATATGTCACCTCCCACCCTCAGGTCACTGCTGAGCAGCACACACTGGCCAAGTACTTGCTGGAGCTGACCATGGTGGACTACGAGATGGTCCACTACCCACCATCGCTCTTGGCTTGTGGGGCTTTTGCTCTGACCCTCAAAGTGTTGGATTCTGGAGAATGGGTGAGTCTCCTCACCCAGAGAATAGGGCCAGCTGATCAACGTACAACTGCTTTAGTCTTCATGTCGAAGGTTGCATTTCTGCATCAGTAATTCATTTTTAAAGATTCAGGTCACAGTGTAGTTCAGGTGACCAGTGTTTTACTGTCAGAAATGCAGTTCTAGTAATCTGGGATGACATTTTCTGCCCTCCTTGGGTTGTTGTCCTCTTCCAACTGGCCTCTCCATATCTGAAATCTTTCCTCAGGATGCAACACTGCAGCACTACATGGAGTACACGGCAGACACTCTGGTTCCTGTGATGAAACATATTGCCAAGAATGTTGTGAAAGTGAACGAAGGACTAACGAAGCATATGGTGAGTAAATTTATATTTGAGATAACTAGTTTTTTTTTTTTTTTTTTTTTTTTGACCTGGTAAACTGAGATCATGATCTGACAAATGGTGGACCTGCTCCAAACCTGGTGAACTGATCATGTTTGTAGTCTTCCCAGTCTATCTGTATTCTTGTATAATAGTCAATATTATTTATTGACTATTATAATAGTAATCTAATCGTAATCTTGTCTATCTGTTTCAGGCCATCAAAACCAAATACTCCACCTCCAAGCAGATGAAAATTGCCACCATTACACAGCTGAAGTCACCTGTTGTGAAGGAACTGGCCAAACAGCTGCAGTGAGGTCACACAGAGGTTCCACCGACTTCAGTTTGTACAGTTTGTAACTTAAATGTGTTTTAATGACTGTGGAGCAATCTTCTGACATGACCATTTGTCAACTTTTTTTTTTTTTTTTTTTTTACTCATCCCAGCAGCTCTGACATCTGTCTAAACCATGTTCCACTTAAATGGACAGTGTGGCCACAGACCCTGCTCTTTTTGAGGGGAAATGGTCATGTTCCAGAGGCCTATTCTATAAAGTTTTAAACCTATTCTTAACTCTAAGTTGTTTGTGTAAAATACATCAATACTTTTTAAATGATTTTATATTCTCTTAAGATGTTCTTTAAACTTCTATTAAATGGTTTTGACCAGACTCTGTGCTATGGGTGTTATTTTTCATCTCCACTAGAGGGAGCTGCAACACTGTCATTGCTGTTTTTGTGTTTCCAACCTTTTCAGAAAAGTGAACTTTACTGCTCTAAAACTAAACGTTAGCCTATGGCTGTTAATGCTCTTCATGTCAGAGTTTGCGCTGGCCTTCATTCATGTTGTCTTTTGACATTTGAGTATTTAAAAAAAAAAAACAAAACACTAACTTCATTTTACTTAGACTGCTCACTTGTGACGTTTGTATTGATAAGTTCAAAGTTCTGAGCACCTGCTGCTTGGTGTTGAAACAGCAGTGAATGCTGCTTGGCTGTATTTGAATTGACGGTGTCAAAGTTGGTGACATCGGTCACTTACGGCAGCAGTGGTTCATTGGGGGTTGTTTACTTGTGAATCATTGTGTATGCTTTGTTTCCAGTGGCCCACTTGGAACCTTTAGGTTGGTCTTGTGCTTTGGTCTATGGAGGTTTGTCAAATATGCATTTTCCATCAAGAATCCTCAGTTGTCAGCTGCTTCGCTAACTTGGTCCTGGACCAGAAAGATGTCAGTCTGACTCTCTGCTGACACCATGCTGTTAGTATTGGTTGTACTTCAAACTCAAGGCTTTTGATACTACAGTACTATGCAGTAGGTTTTGTTTTAATGGCATTAAAAATAATAGAAGTGTAGTACGAGGTCAACCGTTCTCTCAGCAGGAGCTTAACGACCCTGACCTCACATTATTAAATCTGAACATGTTCTTGCTCGCGTCTCTCACAATTCAAGCTACATTTGAGGACTTCTGATGCCAAACAATTTTATACAGAACCTCAGTGTCTGGTATACATGTACAGCATTAGGAAATACCTAAACTCAAAGTACCACTATTGTGATGAACATTAAGCATCTTACCTTTTGAAAAATAAAATATGACTATAATATACGTATACCAATAGAGGGCGTTGGAGTACAACTGTTATCACAATACTTGACAACTGCTTGTCTTGACTATTGGCTAAAAATGTTGGAAACGAAACTGAAGAAAGCTAAAGATCCTCATCACTAATGAAGCTAATGGTTGTTAAATAACTGACCCCAAGGCGTGGTGGAGCATTTACTGCAAGATAATAGTTTCATTGGGTTCGAAATGTTGTCTGCAGCACCCCCTTCTGTATGCAGTTATTACTCTGTAATACTGACTGTAATAACCATCAAACAGGTATTCAAAATGTACAACTACCCCAACACTGCCCCCTTTGGGAACCACTGGTTGAAACTGAGCCTAATATAATAACAGCAAAGTGTTGGGTTTAAAAAATTAAAGTAGTTAAATAGTAAAAATAAAAAGCACTTGAATGACCTTTTATGACAAAAAGCCAGTGCTCAACCTGCTATCTTCAGTGTAGCAAGACACAAAGGCTTCCATTCACTTGATGACATCATATCCTGCTGGCTGTATTTACAGCTAATGGACAAAGGGCAGGGCAGCTATTATCACTACAACCCCCTACTCCCCTCAGAACCTAGTGCCCCTCCACCAACAACCCAAGGGAAATGACCACCTGCTGTCTGGGTGATGTCACTCTGACATGTATCGTTAGGGCCATAAAGTCGTGGCTCCTAAATGTTCTGGTAACATCTGATGGCTGAAGAAAAAAAATAACATTTTAGAGATGTGAAAAAACATAAGAAATGAGCAAAAGAGTAAATAAAACATGTTTGCATTAAATCTATACTGTAACTCGACAGAAGCCAGCTGTTTTAGGTTAATAAAAAAAGTAACTAATCTAATTCTTAAAATTAGACTAAACCAGGAAGATGATGTTGGCACAGAAATACCAGTGTCTTAAAAATGTATAGCAATCCATTTATTAAATTGTTGGCTAAGATGTAGCTAACGATAACAGAAATGTAGAGTGTAACAGTTTGACGTAAGCAGAAAAATTGCCAATTTGCTATTCTGAATTTTTTTTTCAAAGCAAGACCCAATGATTCCAGCTGTCAGAACACTTTGTGTTATTACGAGAGTATTGCAGTTAGCCATCTGAATATTTATATTAAATGATCACAGTAGATCAAATTAAATAAAAAAAATATTTCTGAAACACGTTTTGCAGAGCCCCAAAATTGAAATCATATAAAGTGTCCCCTGACTGGGCCGCGGACCAGGTGTTGTTTCCCCACCGGTTGTAATACGTCTTAATAACAGAGTTAATAACAGTGACATCATCAAAGCTGCTCTGTCTTCATCCATCCACAGACACACACACAGTCTTTCCTTCAACAGACTTCTATTGTATCTCTTTATCAATTATTCTTTGCTAAAATGTCATTCTTTTGTCTGTATATTTGACCCAGCTGTTAGCTTGAATGTGCGTACCCTACGCTTACTCCTTAGCTTAGCTTAGCTTAGCTTAGCTTAACAAAGGTTTGGTCCTCATGCTATTTGGTGGTGTTGGAAACCCTCAGCTAATGTTGTACAATTGTTGCTTTCCTCTTGGTCTACCCTGTTAGTTTAGTGTCAGTTATAAGCGAAAATGGAATGTTGTTTATAACTAAAACTAACAGTAACTACTTAAGCTCGACCCTTAGTGACCTTTTTGGTTGGATGATAGCTAATATTTCCCCCATTAGTCTTAATAATGGTGTCCTGAGATAAATTTTGGAAGACCAAAGTTCAGTCCACAGTTGCCCAGCACATTGGTTTCTGCCGAAAAACAGTCAAAAAAAAAAACACAGTCTTGCGCCTTGTCCCTTTTTAAAGGGAGGGTGGGCAGCTTTTTTTTTTACATCAACGTACACGTGATACGTAGAAGTGAAGTAGAGGAGAAATGTAATTAAACCTTAACCAAGCACACTTAAAGAAAAGCCCCTCAACTATGCCTTTAAAAAGCCTTTGAGTTCTGCTTATTCACATCCTCTCCATTAATGAATGTGCGAGGTCAGCGCTGAGGTCCAGAAAGAATGCAAAGCTGGGCCTCAGGATTTCACACACAAACTAGGCACTAGGCCTTGCTTCCAGAATGTGTATCTGAGGTTCTGAACCTCCTCCTGGTCCAAATCTGCTCCAACTCTGCTCCGTAAATGTAACAAGTGCAGCTCAGCGTCATCTTCTCCACTCCACAGTGGACAATGTCAAAGTCAAAACAAACAGCCAAACCAGTGGTGCTGGTGGTGGCGATGTTCAGGTTGGAGACTGCAGCTGGAAGGTAGAAGCCGGGGGAGAAGAGAGAACATTGAGGTGGACTTATATCTCGGTCTTTAGGCTGCGGTCATGAACAGGCAGTAAACACAGGAGAAGGTTTTTGGACCAGATGGTCAGTTGGCTCCTGGTGTGAGGAGGAAGAAAGTCTGGACAAAAGACAAAAAAAATTTAAATTAAAAAATGTAATGAAACTTTCTACTTTTGGCAAACCATTAGATATTTTGTATCATTTCTTAGTGGTTTCTTTTTGTTATTGTAGATGAGATATTTTTGCTACATTTCTGTCAATCATTAGCTATCAGTGCGGCAACTGTCAGCTGTCTTTAAGTAATTTTCTCAGAGGCAGGATTTCTTTTCTTATACTAAGTCAAAATAACCAAACAGCAGGTCACAAAATGTTAATTAAAGTTAATTGCTTAGCTAAAAAGCTAAAAAGCTAAATAAAAAAAAGCCAAAGCTAATTTATTCATTTTTCTTATTATTTATTTATTTCTTTTGCAGGGGAACTAAATTAGCTAGGTTCATCAACAGTATCAAAATGTGCTACAAATCTGTCCCAAAGGTTTGACTCTAATATTTGACATCTTTGAAGGCTAAACAAACCTTCAGGAGGAAGAAAAGCTAACACATTAGGTACAGCTAATATGTTAGCTTTTCTTCTTCATCTTCTTGTCCACTTCGCAAATCGCTCCACATTACTGTCCCCCTGAGCTGCTCCTGTCCATTCTGGTCACCTCTGGTGACCTGTAGCTAGAGTCAGATGAATGGGACTTAAATTCCAGAGCTGTTTGTTCATCAGTGGTTTAAAGTGAACTAAGAGGAGAATAAGTCCATTAATGGGAGCAATTAACCCTTTAATGAAGTCGACCAAACCAAGCTGCAGCCTGGACATAGCTTAGTTAAGTTTACTTAACTTCGTAAACACACACCATGGTAACGCGAATGCACAAACACACACACACAGAAAGAGAGAGAGAGGTGTGTTGAGGGACAAAGAGAAGCCATTATCTGGCTTCAGCTCTTAGAGGTTATTTTTGGCCCAGGGACTGTCTCAGACTTCACTGTGGTTTCACACAGCAGATCTGTTCCAAACACATTTTTTCCACTGGTCTTCTCCACAGAAAGGTCTGGGGACTTCACAGATCGGAGCCAGTGAAGTGAAACACTGGCAGGATGGTGGTGTTTTTTTTTTCTCCCCTGGGGAAGATGTTTATGACAGCCCTGTAATGTAAATAATCAGCGTAACTCAGCAGCTGAACCAGATGAAATTACGCTCAGACGTTAACTTGCTAAGTCCATAAAGTATTTTCTAAAATCTTAAACGAACAAGATGTGAAAGCTAACTGAAGGTCTGTGTTTTGGTTACGTTTGGTGAAAGAGCCAGAGAAGTTAATTGAACAAAGTCAACATGAGGCTAAGGCTGCCACACTTTCTTAGTCTTGCCGTTCGTGACCTAACACTCAGGGTCAGAGCAGCAGCAGTTTGTCTTTGTATTTCGTTAAAGTAGTAGTTAAATCAGTTTGTTTCATCATTATAATCACCACCATCTTCATCATCATCATTGCCATCACCTTTGTAACTATTGCATCATAATCAACATCATCTTCAGCATCATTACGATGTTTCGGAGAACGATGTTTCAGGTGATGATGTTTCAGGTGACGATGTTTCAGACAACTATGTTTCAGATGACGATGTTTCAGACGATGGTGGTTTAGACGACGATGTTTCAGACGACGATGTTTCAGAC